TTCAAAGAGAATGGAGTGTACAGATCCAACACGTGCATAGGGAAACTAATTTTGCGGCTGGTCATATGGCGGGCTTGGCGGCATCCTCCCCGTTGGGTATACAACGACTTATTTCACCGCCTCCAAGGATGGAGACTTGGCTTGAACATGACATTATCGGAGTATCCCACCCTCGACGAGTTCTAGACTCGTCGTTCTAGGCCTCTAGCCTCCCACTTTGTACCGAGAAATAAAATCCCACTAACAATCAATGATATTTTTTTAGAAAAAAAAAAATTAACTCTAATTAAAAATAAAATAAAATAACTCATTTTGAGTAGACACAGTTGTATGCAAACATGACTCTTACACATACAATAATGATATATTGCACTAAAATCTAAACATATTCAAAAGGACAATCACACTCTTATTAAATGATTAAATAATATTACAAATATTTTGTAGTATTTATTTTTTCCGTTCAAATTAAAAAAGATAATAATTCAGTTTTTCAATGGGTAGTACCAAATCCTCCTGTAATATAATAAATCTGCGCGTTTTCTCCTCGTAATTTAAAAATTGCGTCAAACCCCCTTTTATTGTACTTTTGCATGCGTGAAACACCCTAAACCGTCTAAGATAACGGAGGTGGTGTGCACGCGCGTACTGTGCGGTTTTTCTTCATTTTTTCATTCAAAAGTCGTGGAAATTACTTTTTTACTCATTCCTTTTATAACCATTGTTGGGCACCTGGGTCAAAAGGCTAGTAGGCAAGGATTCCAACCACTATGCCACAATCATTATATGGTACATATCTAACATCCATTTATTTAAAACTGTAGAACACAAGAAAACTTAATCAAACAAAAATAAAACAATCACAAAATAAAATAACAATTTAAAATGTAATTAAAATAAAATATTATGAAGATTAAAATAAATTTTAATATAAATTTTAAATATATGTTTTTATGAATCGAAGTAATATAATATATATAAGTAAAACTAAACTAAATTAAATATAACGATTACTATATAATATATATAACATATAATATATATAATATATTAATATATATTATATAATATATATTATATATTAAATTATATATATAATATAATCGTTAATTATATGTAATATATATATATTATATTATATAATCGTTATTTAATAATCGTTATATATATATATTATATATAATATACATGTAAAATATTATATATATAATTATAATATTATATAATATTATATAATATAATATTATATGATATTATAATATTATAATATTATATGATATTATAATATTATAATAATATTATATGATATTATAATATTATAATATTATAATAGATTATATATGATAATATAATACTGTAATATTATATTATTATAATATTAGGATTTAGGGGCTGCTATTTCGTCTAATTATATTAGGGGCAGACTTGTCGTACTAATTATATTATAATAATATAATTATATTATTATATAATTATATAATATTATATAATAT